TTTTGTTAGATATATAAACACCTCTCTTTCTACTCGGTTCTTCATTGGAATCTTACAGTCCAATATTACTGAAAATAAATCAACGAAAACAAATTATTCAAACGCCATGACATCCAAATCAACGATAATCGCTCTCATACTTGTACTTCTATGCTTATGACCAACGCCAGGGTTTATGCTGCCAATTCCCTTGGTTTACTCCAAGTTGACGTCCGTAAGTATTGTCACAAACTATAATAATAACAGTTTGTCAGATGGTAAATAAATAAACTTATTGATTCTTCATTGGATTAAGTAAATGCCATACTCCCCGATCTTGATCCACCGGGTGGAAAAGGCAAGTTTCAATAACATTAAATTTAACATGCAATTTGCACTTTTTTTAAAACTTTTTGTTCTAATGGCCCATTTCCTCCCCAAATAGGCACAAGTAAGAGTTATGAATTTTTTACTCGACCAATTGTTGCATGACGTCAACTAATATATAATTGTCTCAAGGCGATCCATTTGTGGAATTATCGTTCAATGGAAGTTCTAAATTGAGGACCACAACAAAATGAAACAATAATAATCCGTCGTGGTATGAGACTTTTTATTTCCCTATCAAAAGTCTAAATCAACTTTGAAACTTGAGGTCTTTGATCAAGATGATGATGGTGCTAAGCAATCGGTTATTATCTGGTTTTGATTTTTGTGACGTAATTGTTTTTGGTTTTTTTACAATGCGCACTAATTACTATTTTCATATACTTTGTAGATGGGTCACGTCTCCGTTACGATTGACATTAACGGTCAGTTTCCCAGTACCTATCTCCGTCGTCTGGACTCTGGTAAACTTGGATTTAGCGTTAATAAGGTTAATAGCTAAACTGTGCGCGAAGAGGTACTATTGAAGAAGCAAATACACAGGGAAACTCGATAAGTCGGCCATGCATGGCTGGGCATGGTAGACCGGCTTATCGAGAGGACTGACTTATCAACCACGTGACCAATATGTCAAATTTTTATTCACCACTATAATAACAATATATCATAATATGATAAATAGACAAAAAATAAATTATTCCAAATAAATATATGCTTGTTTGCGTTGAAGAAGTTATTTTCTTTTTATCAATTTTCCATTTTAAGTCTAATCCTAAAACAAACGAACTGTCTACTATTATATCACTATTTTGTCGCAAGTAATCGTGTAAATTTTGAATGCTTTCTAAGGTAACTTTGTTGATATCATCAACGCCTCATCCTCATCTTCATCTTCTCCATTCTCAGGTGCCTCTTGAACGGCTGCAATAATTTCGTCATCGTTGACATATAGCATGGAAGGAAGTTGACCGACTTACAGTTTTACATACGTCGACCGACTTATCGAGATTTTTTAAATACTGAAAAAAAGGGCTGAAAACGTTTGGCCGACTTGGGCCAAAACCGACTTATCGAGTTTCCCTGTGTAGCTGCTTGATATTTATGGACTGAGAAATACCTACCATATATTATTAAAAGTAGCGTGGTAAATTTATCATATTAATAAAATGACTTGTTATTATTCAAATTATGGGCCTTATCATTAACTATTTAAACGACGATATGATATGTATTCACCGATGATTCGATACGATGTAATCAGAATGTGCGCGTAAATGTACATAGTGGTTTATTTACATCATCCCACAGAAGCTCTTATCGAACGAATTTGAAGTCACGTAAAACGTTCTATAGTAGCAACTCAACTGTGTACAATAAGTATTATCTATGCTTACTCAATATCTTAGTGTACGTTGCAAATAAAGTTTTCTCTATACCAATCGGTAAATCTAATGCGTATCAACTGTGGCGCATTTAGAAAAACGTACTAATTAAACGCAAATCTCAATCTATGAAATCAGTAAACTCAATTGTTTATTAATCAACGAGAATCATAATTTTCTAAAGATTAGAAGCAAACTAACATAAACTTATTATCATAATAAACAACATATTAGCAGCATATAACATTTTCCTTCATTCTACCAAGCTATTACTAATCTTCTTAATAACATAAAATAAAAAACAAACATAAACAATCGTTTCACATATAACGATTAGACGAAAAACCCACTTTAAACTAAAAAATCAATTATTGATGACACCCAATCTCTTCTTAACGTTGTCGATGGTGTCTGATGATTCAACCTTGAGGGTGATGGTCTTGTCTGTTAAGGTCTTTGCGAAAATTTGCATACCACCACGCAAAAAACGGTACCAAGTGACGCGTAGATTCTATTCTTGATCAATTACAATGTCTTGATAATATGTCCACATCAC